ATGGCTGCACATACACACACTCAGTGCTCCCACTAGAGTTACAGGGACAAATTTGGAAACCATGCTTAATGTGAAGTGGCACAAAATGGCTGCCATTAATAACTCAGGTGGGTGCAAGGTTGCCTTATGCAAGGCAGGAAGTGTTGTTTCCTGTTTTGGCAGGAGGAAGGGTCAGGGCGGGGTGCTTGATATCAGTTCAGTTCAACACGCTATCATATCTCTTACACATGCATGACATCTGCAAGGTTTAACCCAGTGAAACGGTGTATTGTAATAGGTAGCACTATGTAAACACACATGTAGGAACAATATTGTGTGTCACTAGTGGATTGCTGTGAAAGAAACTGTATGTGATACGGGTACACAAAAACTGCAGCTGGGAGTTGTGTCCTGCCAGGTATGATTTCATGTCTTGTGTAAGCCTGAGATGGGGGCAGAAAAGCATTAACCCTGTGTGTGTGTGTGTGTGTGTGAGAGAGAGAGAGAGACAGTGAGAACCGTGGTGACATTCATTTTGTGCTGCTAAATGTGAAGAACCTGGAAGTGATTTGTGTCCGTAAGTCATTGTATGTATATTTATACCATAATGTCTTAATAGATTTCTGCTGTGTGTGTCTTATAGGTGGTGACATTGTGGTACAGAGCCCCAGAAGTGCTGCTCCAGTCCAGTTATGCAACACCAGTGGACCTGTGGAGTGTTGGCTGCATCTTCGCTGAGATGTTCAGGAGAAGGTGAGGGCTGCAGAGAACTCAAACTGAACTGGAGATGTTTTGACTAAAATAGCAGTATGATTTCTCAAACTGACTAGTCCACTGGCACACCATTTTATACTTCATCATCTTAATAGTGTATTTTGTGCCAGTATTATTGCATGGTAATCAGACTGAATTTCCTCTTCATTTGATTTCATTCAGTCTGCTGGTGTGCTCTTGTAAGCTATTTCTGTTTATGTGGCTTTTTTATTATTGCAGGGTTTTTTGGCAAAGTAAAATGCATCTCCATTCTTTATAATACCACCTACAAATTTCTGAGTGGCAAGGTGATTTTTCCAGCCAGAGTAACGTTCCTGAAAGAGCACTTGACCTGTTTCGGTCAATTTAAAAAATGTAGAGGTGCGCACTAATTTATAGGTCTGAAACCAGGTTACCGCTAGTTACTAAGGGTGTAAGGATGCATATTCATAAAACACTGTTACAGTACAAGACTTACGGTTTGGTGCAGATGTGTAATGAATGCAATTTGTAATAGTAGTTAACAGAAGACTTGTTTTGCATTGCAAACTTTTTTTTTTTCAAACGGTGTTCCCACACAAACATATTAAGTAGCGTACCAGGATGCCCTCTGGTTTAGCATAGCCAAGACTCGAGCAAATGTCAAGGCCAATGCAATCGAGTAGCCAGAACTAGATCCTCCCTTATTGCTAAGGTCTCCTGTTTGGGAACATTTTAGCTTCTCTGTGAAATGCAAAAGTGGACAAAGACACGTGGATGTCATATTTGTTTATTGCACTGTGGTCCACCACTTAACGTGTTTGTTCACTGGTGATTGGGTATGTTTTTGGTAACACATCAAACTTGCTAAATCATTTTGAAATGACACCACGTGAACATGAATATCACTGCTGCAGGAAAAAAATTAGTGTAGTACAACTGCTGCTTCCTTTCCCTGGTCATTGAAGCACTTTTTAGTGGTAGTTTGCAGCAGTATTCTATTTTTTATTCAACTTTATTTTTATATATTTTATCTATTTGTGTCATTGAAAATTTAATAATAAAAGTTATAAACTGTTGATGCATATAAAAGTTCATAATAAATGACAACCAATTTTATGACTTTTTTGTGTACCATTACACCCACTATTGTTCACACATTATTTTAAAATTGTCCCTTCATTTATTCACTGTTGTCTCTCACTTCTGCTTTCACAATAAAATCACAGTGAACATTTACAATTCACCAACTGACATGTTATGAAAACATTTGAATGGCATGCCATTTTTTTACAGAAAAAGTCACACGTTCACTGATCTGCATCAGCAGTATATGGTTACTACATACAATCTGGCTTTTAACCCACCATACAAACATTAATGTGTTTTTGTGAATTGAGTACAGCAGCTTTTCTTGTATCCCTTTCAGCTCAGTATGAATTGTAGCCTAATTGTACTCTAACCCTTTGTCACATTAAGGTGGTTTGATATACTGTAGAAAATGAAGTCATCTAAAACCCCTGCAGGTTTGGAAGAATATTACTTACCCAATGCAAAGTGTCTCTTTTATGTTAATTTATAGTACACCCCAATGCAGTGATAAAGTAAGTTCTGAAATTTTCAGATTATACAGTAGGAGTCATTGGAGGTCGAACAGAGCCTCTCTTACTGTAGGTTTACCACAATTACTGTTAAAATAGATTACAATCGGTGCCCCACAGCGATGTTCATATATTATACACATTCACATACTTATATCCTTGTGACTAGGTCTCTTATCTGGAGCTGATATCATTAAACACCATCTGCCATTCCTTCTTTCCCCTAAAGTGGTTTCACTGTTTGCCTGAATACTGTTACAGAGTATATAGGTGTGATGAGATATCCCAGATTCATGGTTGATAAACTTGCCTTAACTTTTCTTCTGAATGTTGTCCACATTTAGCTGTAACCCCAGTTCCAAGGCTGCTAGTGTTACATCTGAAAGATGTTTTATGGTTAATACTTCATCTTAATTTTTTGAGAAAAATGAACTGCCATCATTACAGACACAGTTAATTGTGTGTTACTTAAATTTCACATCTTTTCTTCAAATGGCACCTGTCAGATGTGTTGTGAGCAGTGAGCAATCACATTTCAGTTGGCTTATCAAACCATTACAGTAATGGCAGGCTGCCTGCTGTGGCTACAGTATGCAAGTCAAGATTCTGCTTCTTGGTATAGGTATTTGTCAGTTTGTGGTCTAACGAACGAACACACTGAAGAGCCAAGCTAATAACGGATAATTTTTTCAAAAAAAAAAAAAGGGGTTGGTCCAGGGCAAATGGACAAGTGTTGTCGTCACAGCCACAATCTAGTGTGTAGAAATGTGTGAACTGGGGTCTAGCCCGCCTGTAGTGGCGTGCTCTGGAGTAGAACAGTTTTTCTGAGGTGGGGCTGAGTGCCAGAAAGAGCAACCCTGCTTGTAATTTATGCTTCCTTCCCCAACCGTCCTCACACCCCACCATGCACAGCAAGATGCAATGGTCCACACTTTGCATGTGGCACTCTGTGGGATTGTATAGGCTTTAGTGTCAAAAGGTGACATATAGTAGTGTAGTATACAAATTGGTGACAGAAAATGAGAAATATAATGAAGGCAGATGTTTCCATTCATGGAATGAATGGGATTGGTTTCTGGTTTGATGAGTACAAAAAAGTGAATGATGTTATTGATAGGGATGCAATGATACCAAAAACTCAGTACAATATTGCCGTGGTAAAACGTCCTCAGTACAATATAAAAAAAAAAAAATGAAGAGACACATAAAGGTGAAATCTGTGCTTTCCCAGAGGTGTTTTTCAAACAACATGGTCTATTTTTTTTCATGAGAAAAGACTTTATGGATGGTTACTAAGTGATTGGTTTTGCGTATGTTCGTCCAGTTTATTTGCCCATCTCTGTTAAAGTGTTACACACAGTCGGGACATTGCCAAATGTATCTCAGTCCTAAGCGGGGCTAGTATCGCCTTTGTCTGGTGGTATTTGCAAGTTGTTCATAGTTTCTTTTTCACCCCTGTCATTTATAGAAATAGGAAAAGGGAAATGCTGCCACACATTATCTCTAAAAATTGACAATGGAGCATTTGCTATGTTAATTTGAAATTCTGTGACTAGCATGCAGTTAAACTAACAAATAACCATCATCATAGTCCCATATATTATCGAGGCATTTTTCTATCATGACATTACGAATTTACAAATATTGTAATTGTATTGTTCTGATTCTGTTACATCCCTAATTATTGCAGTTGCAGTCAGCAGATGTCAGTCTAATTAAATACAGGAGACATTAAAATATAGGAGAAAGACGTGAGATAACACAAAATGAGGGACGAAGAGAGAATTTCTTTGAAAATTGGTGCCATGTTGCATTGAACCTGTTCTGGCAACTTGTGGTGGACTAGTACCTTACTAAGATGTTTTTTGTTGGGTTTTCCCTTCATTTGCCATTCCTTGGTATGAAGAGCGCATCTGGCCTAAAAATGTGTCCCTACAAAAAGCTGTGTAAAAATGAGGACAGAAGTTTGTTTTGTGCAATTGTCAACTACCACATTCACAAACACCGTTTTCCACATTCAGTCCTTTGGCACACAGGAGTGTTTGCTGGGATATCCAGACAAAACATGTTCTGCTGGAATGTTGTTGCATCTTCTCACTCTGTCTTTTTTAAATATGGCTGGTGCATCTGGGCACCAGGTCATGTGTTAAAGCCTCAAGAGAAGTACAGTAGGTTTCAGTCAGTCTTTCCAGGGGCCCAGTGAGCAGCTTTTGTTGTGCATCACCCACTATTCCTCTGGCTGTTTAACATGTAAGTGAACATCTTACTAATAATCAAGAATTACCATAAACATTACATGTCTGCTATGTACAGAAGATGTCTGTCTCTGTTCCTTTAAAAGCAGGCACACTCTGAAGTTGCTGGCAGTCCTACCTTGTCTGATAGCAGTGTGTGTGTGTACAGTATCTGTTGTCTGGGTTAGGGTATTTCTCTCACCCTGACACAATAAGCTGTAAAAAGCTTTGGTGTGTCTATATGTTGTGTCTTCACAGTCTGGCACCTTTCCAACTTTGCCTTAAGGCGGAAGGCAAGCCAGAACCCTTTGATAATTGTGAACACAACATACCCCCCACCCACACACATCCACCTCTCAGTCTCTGCAGGTGATTAAGATGCCTTTTTAAAAGGCCACCTGTTAGAGATTAAAGGGCACCTGGGAGAAACAGTGAAAGAAAGCACAAGAAAGTGATTGAGGGGAAAATGAACAAGAGACGATGAGAAAACAGTTTGCTGGTTTGCAGTTTTATTGAACTGGAGAATATTACTGTTGACAGCTCAGATACAGAAAACCAGATGTCCTCACTGGTGATTTAATTAATTGCCTTTAAGAATGTGCAATAATCAATCAATAGTTTTAACATTTGCTGGTTCCTTCTCACATGAAATGCTTACTGCTTTTAGGCTGTTTTTATATAATTGTGAATTAGTGATGTAACCATCTATAATTTCACGATATTTCTTAATACCGTCATGGGACTGTGATGGTAACTACCAGGATTATTACATATAGTTATTTTGCTAATTTAACTGCATTCAGGTTGTAGAATTCGAAATGGACATAGTGGATGCTCCATCGTTGACTTTTACAGCTGTTAAGTGGCAACATTTCAGTTTTCCCGTTTCAAGAAATAACACAGGCGGAAAGGAAACTGACAAACGCTGAACAATTTACAAAGACAACACTAGGCCTGTTTAGGACTGAAACAATAATAGATATACCTTGCAGAAACAGCTGGGAAACCACTGTGCAGAGCACTTTAATGGAGACAAGCAAATGAATGGGATACACATTTGCAAAACCAGCCACATAGCAACCACCCTTAAAGTCTTTTCTCTTGAAAAGTAAACCATGATGTTTGGAAAAACACCTCCACTAAAGCACAAATTTCACTTTTATGTGGCTTGTCCCAGCGTAGTTTGGCAACAGGAAAAGTAAATCCTGCCTAAAAACACTGATGGTTCACTCTGAGAGTGACAACTTTTGTTTACAACGTCCAACTGCTACAATTGTATATTTTATTATATTTCATAAAAGGATTGCTCCTGACTGCTACGCTATACTACTATTTGTTTTGCAATTCAGTCATTCAGTGCCAATGACTATTCATGCCAAGTTTTTGCACATCCTTAGGTCATGGCTGGTAACCTCTATATTAATAAAGAAGAAAAGCAGCAGTACTTTAAATTAAAGGTTAGGGATGGCAGTTCTTTTCACAAGCATTTTTTGTTACGTTTCTTGAGTTTGATCCAGATGGCAATGAATACATTATATGCATTGAAAACATTAAAAAAAATTCTGTCATCTGCAGGGTTGAAAAATGCCTGACCAATAATTTTACTCATCCCAAGCAAAACAATTGGATTGCCTACCTGCCTGTCACCCTACCTCCTACTTGCACACACTCTGCCTTTGCACTCAATGTGCAAGCCAGGAATCTCCTACAAGGCACTGTAGTTGCAGGCAGAGCTGTTGCCACTCTGTTTTACAGCTAAAGCTAGCAAGCTATGGCAGCAGCTTTTATTCGCAAATGGAGATTGTTATTACAGGCTAGGCCTTCTCCTTTAAGACATATAGCCTTATAGGTAATGTTGTTGTTGCCAGAAGTTGCTACCTGCATGCAGTGTGTGTGGTATGAGAACAAGGAGACTGCCACCTGGAACAGACTCCTTTTACATGCAGCCACACAGTAGTCAGCTCTAAGTGTATAAATGGGATTGTAATACAGTTAACTGAGCATCACAGGCCACATACAGTGTCCGTGTTACCAAGATAGAATAAAGCCTGTGTTTTGAACAGAGTTAGCTGGCCTCGCTCTTCACTTCTCCCCACTGGAAAAGCCTGGACTTTTAAGACTTATAAGCCAGGGCTAAAGCAGTTTAGCCATGAACCATCTACAGTTTGGGGCCGCAGATCTGGGTGGGTAAAAATAAGTTGGATGCTGCAAGAAATAAAACCAGAATAAACACTTGTATGGCTTTTGAGTGATGGCAACAACTGAGAGAACGAAAGGGGCTGAAAAGTGACGCCATGTTTCTGTTGGACAGGTAATTATTACCTCTGTTTTCTTTGGGGGGGGTATTTATTTTCCTGAAATCTGTAAGTAGTAGTCAGGCAATGTGTGTTGTGTATTTAGTAAAGGGCATTTTTCCCATATTTTTTCTTAATTATTAATATGATAAATATCATATCATGGCAGTATCGTACTGTGAGTTTTTGGTATTGTTGCATCTCAGCCCTATGCCAGTGAAGTAACACCTTGGGCCCTATCTTGCAACAAACACATTGCGTGCGGTGCAGATAGCGGTGCCTGTGTTTCCTAATTTCCTACCTGCACAATTGCCATTTTCATGAGATGCACATCATGTTGCCTTTTTACCAAGCAGCAGTCTGTCGACTTCGCACCGGATGTAAATGGGTGTGTCCAGGTAAATTTTGGGCGGGTTGGAAATATGAGGGCACAGAAAGTGACCGCCACCACTGACCACCAAAAACCAGGTCTGAGGTCAGCAGTTAAATCAACATTGCTAGTTAATGGGTGCTTTGACTATGTTGTGATGCACGCCTGTCTAGGTGCATGCACAATGCTTGTGCACTGTGCTTGTTATACTCTGGGTCACCCTGCATAGAACATGCAAAACTTAAAAAATAAAAAGATGACATTGTGTTCATTGGGTGTTGCACACATCAGTATATATGTATTTATAATAAATACTATTTTGATAAGAGTGCCTGTTTGTTGATGTTCCTCCAGACGAAAAAAGCTTTGTGTTATGTTGGTGGTCTGGGAGAGGCTGTTTCCGTGTCGTTTTCTCACCATTCACAACTCAAATGATAAATCCTCAAGAGGCAACCTTGCATGCATGTGTGGTACGTACATGCTTTACACAAACAAACACACTTTTGTCTACAGTATATGCAAATTCGGCACCGATTTGCACGTTCACCTTCAGACTTAAACGCATGAAAAAGCCACACTCCATTTCTCTGACCGACTGACAAGCTCACGTGGGAGCATGCACACACCCACACACACACACACACACACACCACACACATTCCAGAGGTTGTCTCAGTGGAATGTGGGACAGAGTTGTTGGCACTAATGGAAGCGTGACTCAGCTGCCTGTCCCAGCCCAGTCTCAGTCCTCCTTTTACTGCCACCCGCTTGTATGTGTATGTACATGTGCTAACAGTGGGAAACAATTCCTTTTGCACAACCATGCAATTGTACACCCTTATGTCTGTGCAAATGTGCATTTGCACTCAACTGTTGAATGTGTGTACACACCAGTGGCCAGCTGTATGTGAATCTAGTTATCCCTCTCCAACAAACCACTCCAGGTTTAAAAATGGACCTCTTGGAATTATCAGCAATACTTGTTTTGGCACGATGACTTTGCTGTAGGTGAATTCTTTTTTCTTTTTTTTGCAACAGAACTGGTTTGGTCTGATCTTAAATGGTGTTCAGTTCAAGTGCTTTACCACAGAAGACCTGTGTATGCAGAGTGGTTCTGTTTTAAGTTAAAAGCGGTGTCATAAGAGTAAAGAAACATCAGATCATATATTAGTTGAGGATAGTTTCTTAATAATCCAAAAGAAACCTCTCAATTCCACTTCCGAACTGAAGCATGTGACAGAGTTTGCTGTCACTGTAAAAATGTGCAGAATACCGCTGTGTGGCTAATATTCCTGTGTCTGAGTCTGAAGGAAAGTGTGGGTGTTCAGCTATGCAAAGCTTCCTGCAAGTGGGAAAACACAGGGAGGACATGGTGGCTAGCCAGTTTCTGCCGACTCCAGTTAAGTGGGATGCACTTGAACTGTATTGAGGCCTGGACACAGAATGCATACATACAAGCACAGCATACTACATTGCATAGACATCGGCTTGTGACAGATTATTTCAAACACAGAGCTTATAACCTTAGTGTGTTATATACTGTTATTTTGAAAGTAGCATATTTGAAATATTACTTGGAAAGGTGCTCTTTAGTTACTCCAAAGTCGCATTGTTAGTGTCTCTG